GTTGATTAGAAACTCCTGAAATTTGGACTGGAGCGGTTATGAGTGCATACTATTCTCGCAGAGACCCGAGTTCGGGTCCCAGACCTATATGGTGGCTCACACAGTCACCTGTAACTCCTTCTCTATGTGCTCTGATGCCCTCTTCTGACCTCTACAGGCTCCTGCATACGTGACGCACATATATGAATACTCAAACATACACGTTACACACACAATGAAATTTAAATTAAAAACATATGCAAATATCTGCCTGAGCTTTATCCAACCTGATGCTTTGCTAATGGCCCAAATCTGAATTTGAGGGAACTGCATAAATACTCCACAATCACAGAATTGGAGTCTGAAGGGCCCAAAGCATTACCATCTGATACAAACCACAGTGTAGCTGGTGAGGAATATTTTACCTGCTGCCCAGTGGTCTGCCTAGTATTAGATTCATTTAGCTACCATCAATAGCAAAATCAAGCATCACATTTTAGTAAAGAAAATCCAGTGTAACTCATGCCCGATATAACCCTTAGCCAAACATATCTTGTATCTATAAGAATGAATTAATACAACACTCATTGATCTTCAGTCAATATTACAGAAAATTCTCACAGCAAAACTCACACTTACAGTAGGCATTTGAATATTAATGACTGTGTGGCAGCTTGTAGCTGGTGTTTAAAGCAAGCTGAGCAGCATGTGTGCAGGCACAGAACATGGCGCATTATCTGAACTATCCCTTCTCTTCATCCCCTCCTACCTGCAAGTAATTACCTCAGTGTAATTATACCAAGTGTAAAGAAAGGGAAATAGAGCCACAGAAAAGAATAAGTTTGTCCAAAGGCATTATCTAATAAATAATGCAGCATGGATTTACATACACTAAGTGCCTTTGCTCTGGTCCCAAAGTCCTCACTTTTATTCATAAAGACAAGGAGGAGCTAGTTCATGGTCATGAATTTATACTGCAGTATAAACAAATGACTGATACTATAATATATTCAACCTAAGGATTAGAGCATCCAAATACCCGTGTATCAGAAAACAAGACAATGCAAGCACGTCTCAAAGAACAAAGCTTAATCGGACTCATTATTTTGATTGAAGGTAGGACTCATAATCCTGATATTAATACTTTGAAGTGTTGAGCAGCGTTTGGAACCTACATCTGTGTGCTTTGTTTCCAGGCTGTCAGGTATAAATTTGAGAGCGCTGAACACTTTCTTTACTGCAGCAGCTAGAGTATGTATCGAGACTTGCACACATGACCCTCGAGCCCGGAGGTTTTATGAGAATGGTTACAAAACTCATCATTAATGGGACGGGGCAGATGTCTGGTGTTTCCCCCGATAAACTTATGATGGCTATATTACCATCTACGTGCCTTTGTGTTTTAACTTCATTTCTCTTCATGTTGGGGAAACATTTTGGTGAGTGTTTCAGATTTGATAAGAATAGTTAAAAATACAGCTTGACATTGAGAGTCTGCAACAGATTATGTCATATTAGGGATCACCGGGATTTGCTCATTAGATTGGGCACCGAGCACAACAACTACATAGAGTATAAATGAATGTGAACTGGGCTCCCTGCCCCGCCCAGCAGTCCAGTCCCTTGTAGCTCCATGAAACTAGTTGTCAGGCTGGAAAATCTACCTTCAAATGTCAAATGTCCTTGGAAATACGTTCAATAAATAAACAGACAAGCAAAACAAAAAACAAAAAACAAACAAACAAAAAACCAAAACCAAACCCAAATCTGGCAGAACTTAGTTCATTACGAACAAATTAGCCAAAAAGTAAATCCAAACTGAGCAACAGTGTTGGCTCAGGACTCCGGGTGATGTCCATATCTCCTACTTCTCTGAATTACTGCTTTTTCTGTAGTTCTCACGTCCTAACTTTGAAGAAACAGTCTTCAGGCATTCCCTTTTATAGTGAGGCCAACCCCCAGCCCTTGATTCAGAATCACTTCATGCCTGAATGTAACTTGGCGTCAGCAGTCACAGTACCGTAGGCAAGGCACCCGCACAGTCCTGTGGAGCACTACTGTGCGGCACAGGGGGACTGGTTCCACTTGGCACTCCGTTTAGGGGAGGGGAATGTTTAAAGGAAGCTGGGATGTTTGGTTTCAGAGCCTGGGGAGACAACTTGGGTCAGGACAGGGCTTGCCTTGCAAGCATAAGGACTTCTGTTCAAAACACAGAATTCACAAGTTAAAAAAAAAATCTAGGCAGGGTGATAGGTCCTCATGCTGCTGAGGCTGAGACAGGTCCTGTGGGGCTCCCAGGCCAGCCTTCCTGGTCTATCTGGTAAGTTCAAGGTCATTCAGAGATGCTATCTCAAAGAAAAAATTGGATGGTGACTGGGGAATGATACCACTGGTTGTCCTCTGATTTATACACCATATACACACACACACACACACACACACACACACACACACACTCATGCACACACAGGCACACACTCACCCATGCCCGAGCTTTCCTGCACGCACATGAATACTGTCCTCTCCACACACAAAGGCAGTTTTGAAAATCTGTTCTAACTCACTAATTGGATAAACGCATAAATGTAGATAAATGACCCATCTCAATAAAATAATAAAATCATTTCACCAAACCTGGCTGTTAAGCCAAAGGATCAGGCCAATTATGAAGGTTGTTTTAAGAATTAAAAGGAGGGCTGCAGAGACAGCTCAGCGGATAAAAATGTTGGCTGCTCTTGCAGGGGACTGGAGTTCAATCCCCAGCACCAGATGGGGCAGCTATCACAACTGCCTGAAACTTCAGCTCCGTTCTCATCTCTGTGAGTATCAGCATGCCCATGCATACGCACATACCTCCCCCCCACTCACACATATATAGAGATATAGATGGAGAGAGAGAGAGAGATGGAGAGAGATAGAGAAAGAGAGAGGGAGGGAGAGAGCGAGAGAGACCTTTAGTCAAGTCAAACTACACAGTGAAAAGCAGCCATGACCCTTCCTTTTCTCAGGAAGTCACCAGTGCTCTTGGGAGCATTTCTCCTGCAGACTGGGACGTACACCCCAAGTACATTCTGCGCAGCTGGAGGCTGTGCGGTAGACAGAAGGATCTTGCTAGGCAAGGTCTGTGTTTATGACTCAAGTTTTTAAAAGAGGAATTTGGAAATGCTCCCAGACACTGCATCTGCCCCTGGCTCTTGCACATCAGAGAATGAGGCCAGTGAGGGAGACAGCGAGGATGACTATGTTTATTAGCAATGGATGGGTCACTCTATCTTTCAACACAGCAACAGTAGGCAATCCCGTCAGAAACCTGCCTGTTGGCTGGCCTGCAGATCTGATCAGACATGCTATACAGCAGTTAGCCCTAACCGAATGGAGACAGGAGACTGCTTCCTGAAAAAAAAATGAGTCCCAAGCCGAATCTTCGACCAGAGACCTAGCTTCTATTTCCATCTGGGAGGAGTCCATCAGCTGAGACTTCCCCATCACAGCCTCCATTGACTTCCTCTTGCTGTTTCTCCATCACAAATATAATATAAGCAGAAGTTCAGCAAGTCGGGGAACTTGAATTCCATTTTTAATTATGATGATTTTGATGTGTGGAGAAAATAGTTAAGCACACATTAATCTCAATATATCTCAGCTAACAGGTAATCATGATTTACGACAGGCATACATGGGCAGCCAGTCTCACACATAAGGCAACTGTTTACTCTTTTAGGTAAAATCAAAACAGTGACATGGGATGTTCTAGCTCAAATTCCATTCCATTGCCTTGGCATACTGGTATTTTAAACGATGGTATTTTACCAAAATTTTCTCATAGGTTAAACAAATATCTGAGTTTATGTGATAATATAAACCCTGTACTTTGTGTACTTATCTTAGTGTACAGTGTGTAGTGTGTGTGAGTGTGTGTGTGTGTGTGTAGTCTCATGTGTGTGAGGACCACCACTCCTGCCATGATAAGCATGTGGAGGTCATAGGACAATTTTTGGTATGGATCCTTGTCACCCATCCACCTTGTTTGAGGAAGGGTCTCCATGTTTTTAATAGTGACACAGGCCAGGATAGCTGCCCCGAGGCTTCTGGGCATTCTCCAATCCCCAGCTTCCTGATGCTAAAGGAGCACTGGCCTTAGAGTCACATATCACCATCTCTGGCTTTAACTTGGGTTCTAGGGATCTAAACTCAGATCTTCATGTTTACATGGTAAATGTGTTACCCACAGAGCCATCGCTTCAAACCCCTCCCAATTTTGTTTGTTTGTTTTCTTAAGCAGAAATGTGAAGTCTGGACATAAATCCTCCAATGAAATATTTTGTTTTCTAGGAGTTGTCTTGGTCACAGTGTCTCTTCACAGCAATAAAACAGTGCATAAGAACCTACTCTTTGCATGTGCATTATTTGCACTGATTTTCATGTTTCCAGATAGTGCCTTCACTGTTGTTGACATCAAGTTAGTCAACACTTTTAAACTCTGTGCCTGTGACAGGAGCAAATCTCCTTGGCTTCACCACAGTGCCCATCAAGAGGAGAAGGTGGGTTCCCACAGAATAGGAGACATTAGCAGTTGTTGTTGACTCAGCTACAAAGGTGGAGATAAAACATCCCTCAGATGCATGCTCTCACCCTCTCCCCAGTCAGGGTAAGCGTTCCTTCTGAGTCTTTTCACAAGCTGTGGTGATCACATGCGTTCTCAGTGGGCATGAGGCATTCCTGAAGCCCTTCTACGAGCGGGCTGCAGCAGGCTCTAATATGTAAGGATGGAGGCTGCCTGAGGACATGCTTTGATCCAATGAGTTCTCCCCTCTTTCCTTTCCTCGCAGGCCTCCTATCTGCCCCCCAACACAATCCTAAAGGGATGGATATGTTGACACAATCAGGCTACCATTATAAAAAGGCTGAGCTCATTTTTCTATAAATAGACCCCATAAAAATTCATTCTTAAGAGATATCAAAATAATAGACAACACCTTGGGGCGTAGCACTTCTTAAATGAAAGTGTCAACTGCGCTTACCTATAAAATCTGGGTGAGCTGTTCTGGGAAATCTGCAGTACCCGTCTCCCACAAAGCAGGTTCTGTCTTAGCAGCCATGGAGTAGGGAGAGAGGGATCTCTCCTTTCTAGATAGTTCACAGGAGGCAGAGCATTGACTTCTTCAGGAGGAAGCCACCAAGATGGACTATGGTGCTCTTGACTCATGTCACCATGGGAAACCTTAGCTGAGCAGCAGCTGAATGGCATAGGACACAAAGGGACAATGAATAAGAGAGGGGGACATACACCTTGCATACATCATACTTAACGGTCAAATCAATTGCTGTCATAGGTGCCTACATAATTCTAGGAATGGAAAATGGAATGTAGAGTCGAACTCAAAGGGGACTAAACAGAACTTAAATGGCTAACAAATCCCTAAAACAAAACATGTACACACTGAGGAAGATTTTTGTTGGAAATCATTTCTATTGCTTTTTTTTTGGCCAAATAACAGATATCATAGCCACTATGAGTGCCCTGGGCCCTTGATTATTGACTGTTGACTTCAAAAGCTCCTTCACTGTCTCCCTCTCTGGATGTCTCTGACAGAGTGGAGGCTACCTGATTTGGAAACTATAGAACTGTAGTTTTGAACTGTGCCCAGCCTACAGTCAGCACTACTAACGGAGGTGGGGCCTCTTGTCCTGACCTGCACTGAACTGGGACTGAGCAGGTGGCAGAAATAATGGACATGGGCAAGGGGGAAGGAGAGGAAGGGATGGCTTGCTAGGAACGGGCTTTAGGTCACTTGACCCCAGCATGCCCCCAAATGAATTGCTAATGTAGGATTAATGACTTTAGGTTGTGAAACCATGTTTACTTCATTCTATTAACTTTTTATTCTTACCATATTGGGGTTTTAATCGAGAGGGCTTCACACTCTACCTCTCTGCGCATGCCCAGTCTATAGTTTGTTTTCACAGACAAATGATTTTGAAATACTTCAACGTTTATTTGTTGTGTGGCATGTGGTATGTGTGCACATAGGCTCGTGAGCTTATTATCAAGACACACACATGAAAGCCAGAGGGCGAAGTGAGGGAATCTTTGCTCTCCTTCCAGTACGCAGGCCGTGGGGACTGGACTCAGGTTGCAAACCTTGTCAGAAGGCAGTTTGCCTACTGATGAGATTTTACTCAGTCAAACTGAGAGGGAGGCATGGACTTGATCCACACACCCCATGCCCTGCACAAATAATCTCCGCATGTCTGTTTGTCATGAGTGGTTCTCACAATGAATGGATGAGCCTGTGCTGAGCTGTCACGTCATACAAAGTCAAATGTTCCCTATGGGTGCACTGCTGTATAGGCTGTAGGTTTGGGGAAACGTGCAACACATACCCATCATTATAGTTTCATACAACATATGCATGCATAAGTGTGTGTGTATGTGTGTGTGTGTTTGACACAAGGCCTTTCTATGTAATCCAGACTGACCTTGATGCTGACCTCTTACCACAGCCTGTCAAGTCCTGGGAACCACCAGGCTAGCAACATACAAGGCATTTTCAATTCTGCCAAAATTCTGCCAGCCATTCATCTGTGTCCTCAACTCCTTGCAACTGCTAAGCTCTTTACAATCACTATAGCCTTTTTCCCTTGCCACAGTAATATGGGACCATAAAGTGTACACCGATTTCAAGATACTTTCCTCTCGTTAGTAACATTAAAATGTCTCCTACTGCTTCCAGCTTCGGCACCGTGTAATATTCCATTCTCTGTCTGTGCGTGTTTTTATTTATTCATCCATCTGCCGAAGTATGGCATGATCAGCTTCCTTTTACTGATTATCAATGAAGTTGATACAAATATGCATGCATGCAGAGGTGACTGTATTGTTATCATTTGTTAAGTCCTCGGGGAGAGGGGTCAGAAGCACTAGGCCATATGCTAAGAACATGTCTTCAGGAGTAGCTGTCCCATTATATACCCATGCCACCAGTGCAGGGCATGTCTTGGATATGTTATCATATGTGTACTTCCTACCTGGGATACAGTGAGGACTATCTCTGCATTTTTAATTACTCTCTATCTCTCTGTATTCTTTGGGAAGACAGTTATTTTCATGATTTTTATCTTAGGGTTACAACTGATGGAAATGAAAGCAAACACCACTCTGAAGACCAAACAGAACATCCTATGCACAGCAACTTACAACGCTAGTATAAGGACAAGGGCTTCTAGGTCTTGCAATAGCTGGAAGCACAGCTGGGCCTGAGGTTACCATGCCACTAGCCATGGTCGCAGACTTGTCTCAGTAATTGCTCATTGACCACTGCTGAGGCACAGTGAGATCTGATACAGTCAGATCCTTGAGAGTGGCAACTCCTTGGAGCTACTGAGATGTTCTACTAAGAAACAGTGATTAAAAACTATCCATGTAACCTGATGAAAGGAAAATCTAACTAAAAGACAAGTTATTGAAAATGAATGCCAATATTCAAGTATGACATCTTTTTTTTGTTTGCAAGAAGGTTTTCTACATATATCTTCCTGGCCTGGAACTTGCTATGGAGGCCAAGCTGGCCCGAAACTCATAGCAAGCCTCCTGGCTTTGCCTCCTGAGCACTGGAATTGAAGAAACGGAGCATCAATGATGGATGGCCCAACTTCAATGACGTCACTTTGCTTTAAACAGTTGTTGGCAGGCTAACATTCATCCCTCCTTTAAGCATGTAGGCTGAGATGTGAAAGAGAAGAAAGGAATGAACACAACTGTAGCCAAGGCTTTGACCAAGAACCCAAACTATGAATGTGGACTTTTAGTTTGTGTATTAACAGAGCCTTGTGCAGAAAAAAATCATTTTCTGTTTCAAGACATATAATGTGATATGGATCCAAGTGCTGAAAACTGTAAAGTGTGATAGGAAGCTCACTTTAAGAGCATAGAGAGAAATAGTAATAGTTGCCCCATGATGCTTGCCAACTTTCCAAAGAGCAGCAGCCAGCAACAACTATTTTAACTTTCAGAAGGAGCAGAGCAAAAAGTTCATTGACTTAAATAGAAAATTAACAACTGTATTCATCATCTGCTGCAGGAATCTGTGTGATATTTTTATACATGTATGAATCTTATGTGCATGGCTTCTCTTGGTACTCTCTCTACCAAAAGTTAGCTAAATGGGGAGTGTTCTCAGTTGTCGTTATAATAACCAAACAAAATAACAAGATAAACCAGTCTGAACCTCTTGCATCCAGTTTATGTTTGGAGCTGAAACTCCCTTGCATGATCTTTTGTGGCCATCTATGCATTGTTACAGGCTCAGGCAAGAAGACCCCTCATGGGTTTAGTAACAATTAACACGGTTTTCTTTATAATTTGACTTTTTGTATGTGTGCATGTGTGCACATTCATGTGCTGCTAGTATGTGCATGCATGCATGTGTGCGTGTGTGTGTGTGTGTGTGTGTGTGTGTGTGTGTGTGTGTACCATAGGGGAATCTCATATGGTGTTATTCTGTTACTTCTTGAACACTGACACCCTCCTTTGAGGCAGAGTGTTTTACAGGCTTGGAGCTAGGGATAGATGAATGAGGATGAACTGGCTGCTCAGCCAGCCCCAAGAATACTGTCTCTGTCTGCCTGGTGCTGGGATTACAAGCACACACCACAACATGCTGCATTTTCATGTGGCTTCTAGGTACCAAAACCCTCTTCCTGTATCTTCCTGTTACTTTACAGACAAGGAAAGACTGGCATTTGAGCCCTTTGGCTGTGTCAGTTCCTGCACTGCATATTGGAGTCTCCAATATTTATAGCACAGGAAGGTGACATTTTTAGCTTAAAAGTTTCCATTCAACCAATTTACACTGATGCTCAGAAGAATTCTCTCAAATGAGGAATCTCTTTTGTATATCCACTCCATTTAAACTAAAGACTTGAAGTTTGGACAAATGTGATGATGTCTTGCTTGTACAAATAAAGCCTGTCTGGGGGTCAGAGAATGGGGCTTGCCACTAGATAACCATAGAGGTCTGGAGGTCTGTGCAGACAGGCAGGAAGTGAGGTAACCGGGAAGAGACAGGATATAAGCAGGGAAAAACAAGAACTCACTCCCTTGTCTGCCCAAGGCACTAAGGCGATAAGGTGTGTGGCTTGTTCCTCCTCCTCTCTGACCTCTCAGCGTTTTCCTCTATATCTGACTTTGGGTTATTACTTAGATCAGTTAAGAGCTCCATTTACATTTTGGCACCCAGTGTGGGGTTTCTGTCTGCACAGACCTCCAGACCTCTATGGTTAGCTAGTGGCAAGCTCCATCCTCTGATCCCCAGACAGGCTTTATTTGTAGAAACAAGATGTCACCACAGATAAACTTGAACCTTTCATCATTGGAAGCATGCCATCCTTTACACAACACACTAACTCTTTCCCAAAGCCCATGTGTTTGACTCCTGTACAATTCTATACCAGCTGAATGTGAGAAAGTGGTGAAATCATGGGCCTTGCCTTTCCACACTGATCTACGACCCACGGTACTTCTTCATCAGGAATACAAAGAATAAAACAGTAAAAAAGAATCACATTGGCACTGTAGTTACATTTTCAATTCTTTCTAAAGGGGGAGAGCTCACTTCTACTCTCAGTCTGGCAAACAGTTCATAGGCAATAAGGATACTCTTCTGTGGAGGGTCCACTGAAATTAGGGCTAACTGTTCAAAGAGTGACATGTCAGCACCTCAGCTCACAGAGAGTTGTTCCACCAAGCAGGGAGAATATCTTGGCTAGTGTCCTCCACAGCATCAGTTGAACTGGAGCTGGTTGCTTCTCCATTGCTTTAAAAACCTTGACTTCCAGCTTGTATGTTATAGCTTCAAACAGAGGAGTCTACATGGCTTCTTGTAGGGTGGGTATGCTACTGAACCATTCTTTACCTGTATCTTCTACAACCAGGAGAAGGGTTGAGTGGATCTGTAAACCAATTAAACTGGACACAAAACACATTTGCATGTGCACATGTGTGCACATGCACACACACACACATACACAGGAGCTTAGCTTAAGGAGGGTTATTTGAGTGTCAAAACAAAGGGATTATAGACACACAAATATGTTTGTTAAATAGTTTGTCATCACAGTACAATAAACTAAGAGATAACTTTGAGCAAAAGAAATCACTTTAGGCTTCTTGAAAATATTTTCACCTGAATTTCTTATGCTACAATATCTCATATAAATCATTTAAATTTTATCTTGC